GCACCTTGGATTAACAAAGATGGGCGTTTCGGATTTCTGGATGCCACGAGCTCGTCAAGGAACTGAAAAAGATATAAACAGACTCTTCTCGCTTTCAGCTTATGATCTCACGAGCTGTGTACTTTGTGCCTTAATTCCTTGTGGGTCGTCTATGCGTTGAATGATCGAGGTCCAGTGTTCAAAAGCCGGATACGCAAAGCCATTGGATTGGCACATAGCCTATTATAGCCTTAGTTTATAGCCTATAGCCTTTAGAAGCACAATCGACATCTCTGAGCACATTTATGGTAGTTGGCATGTACTTGATCGAACCACATCGGAAGAGGACTCCATCGAAGGAAGGACACCACTCTCTCAGCATGGAAGAGGTCTGGCATGGAATTGGGAGCGCTGTCGAATTTGCATGTGAATCCATTGGGGGCCCATGCTGTGGCCCCACAAACCATCCAGAACATCGCCATGCTGTGTTGTGCAAACACTTGAAACAACCCTGAGTAAGATTTGCCAGAAACAACCAAAGATGTGACGGTCGGGGCCGACAAAGGGGTTCTGTTTGGCGCATGGGAACAAATATACATGCCGCAGAATGCCGCTACATGTCCCCGCCTCGACATGCTAGCATGTCTACGCGCGTAGATTTGTTCAATGGATTTGTGGCAGTAGCGGGGCGAAGTGAGCTGAGGACGTGTTCGGATCATGACGGAGGTGCTCTCGCAACAGGAGCTTGGCACGTTGATGGCATCTGTGGATGTCTTTGTGTCCTTGCACCGCTCAGAGGGTTATGGCCTGCTCCTACTGCAGCCTGGACTCTTGATTAGGGCTGAAGCTACTCTCAACTTACAGTCAACAATTTGGGGGCCCTTGATTGCCGTTGAAAGGGTAAGAAGGTTGGGCTGTTAGGAGTCGGGTAAGTCAACATTGTGGGGTTGATTCATGCACAGCTCTGTATACCCGTGGGTGAGAAAAGTGTTGCGCAAACCTGAGAACATGGTCAGTGGGAGTACGCACGTTGCCAGCGGCGTCAAAAGGACATTGATATCACTTGATATCACATGATTCGTTTTCATGCTCAGCCCATTTGGTCTTTGCTTTGACAGGAAAAGGCTGTATTTTGGGTGGTTGATCCAAAACAGAGGTCACTCAGATTCTAGGTATAGCACCTGACAATCTTTCCTGCCCCTTGGCAATTTGCCACAGGATGGGACGGACTTTTGCCCCACATGGACCGGTCAAAACTGATTTGCTTCCATTCGAGCAACAAATCACGAAGAACAAGATACAGATTCAGCAACAAATTAGCTTTCCATTAGACATTACATGACATGACCATTTGAGCAACAAATTGGCTCCCATTCATGATAGTTCCCACTTCATCCGACTCCAGAACCACCGGCATCTTCAAAACCACCGGTCGCTCACCCGGTCGGTCGTAACCGAACGAAACCTCCCGGTGGGTCTTACACCCCAATCGGCTCGCAGCGAGTTCCGAGTGTACGACTGGAGCCCAAACGGTACGACTGGAGGCCGAGACCCCACCTGGTCGTTGGAATCGAAGGCTGCCTATACCTGGTCGTAGGGGTCCGCGTGAGAACGTACTGACACAGGTCAGAGCAACAAGCGTTGGGCTTTAGGCAGCCCCCTGTTCACTTTGGCCTATATAGTTCCGTCGATGTTCACTGTCAGGCAGATGTTGATGCTTGGCAAGCCAGTTATCGCGACTGCATATAGCGGAAACATGGACTTCATGGCCAAGCTTCCCGAAAGCTGCTCAGTTCATGAAAACATGTTCGATGACAATCTGACTTTGCTTCAGTTTGAAAAGACAGTTGTTGGTGCTCAGTTTCCGTGGACAATCCCACAAGAAAGATCGTTTCACAAGCTGCAACGCAGTGATTCTATTTGCGGATCAACTCAATTTGTTTAGACTTGGCCACCAACTCCCTGTTTGTATGCATCCCTGAGCATTTGGAGCATTAGCAGGTCTTCTGGATAGAGCAGGAAGTATCCCTGCTGGGATAGGAGAGTAGACCGACATGAGACAGGAGTTTTCCCCTCACAATCTTTGGAAGTATGATCTAATCTTCGCGTGACTCTTCATATGTGCAATCACAGATTTGCATCATGGAAGCTGCTTGGATTTACCTTGGAACTTTGGAAGATCGACGAACGAAGATATGGCAATGGCATGCCATGCACAACGTTCAGGTTGCGCCTGCAGGACGGCGGACTGGACTAGAGATTGGTCGGACACTTGCGGAGGCCCGCGCAAGAAAATAACTTTGATGGTATAACACTGAGGGCCCGTTCTCACCGCCGAACCGCTGCGCAGGAACGCCGGAAACAACTGAAAGAATCTGGATGTATCCCACAAGAAATGGAACAATAACAATCGATCCCAAGAAGAGACATGAGAGCTGAGAGCACAACATGTCAATTGAGACCTAGGTCCTTGGGTAGAGCTGAGAGCAACACTTGGTAACATGACATGCACATCAGCTCGGTCATCCCTATATATAGCTTTGTTGATTTGTATTTGACATATCTTGACATATACCTATCCGAATACACCACCATAATGACCTGATGTAAACTGTTGATGACTAACATGAAGATGTTTGACCATCCGTTTTTTTCTCGGTTTTCCCCACGGTGCCAGTGGAATCCAGTTCTTATACATGGTGAACGTCTCGTCTATAGCACGTGTCGCGAACGTCCGGAGATTTCATCGTCACCGCGGGCTGCTGGCACATCGGCCCAGGCTTCCAATTCTTGCAAATTCCTTATCGTTACACCTGGGTGAATGTCTCTGAGCCCTTCTTGGAGACGTACCAAACGGGTCAACGCTGGGCGGAGCCTGATGTCTCCAAGGCAGCCAAAGCCATGCAGATGCTCTATGCAGAGCCTTGGTGGTGGCGAAACCGGCGAAACATGGCGAAACGCCGAAACCCCGCATGTGGAAACCTTGGAATCAGCAGGGTGGTCATCCACACGAATTGATTACTACAGCAGTAGATGGACAAATTAATCAACCCCCAAAACCACATGCTAGATCACCACTCCCACGACACCTATTTTAATGTTATAAGTGAACATATATTGTTTGTTGTCAGGGTTTGATTTGATTCGTCCGCTCAAGCCAACCTCCTTCACCAACATGCCAACATTGAACTAGGGGGGGGTAGGGGGTGTGGCTGTGAGGGTTTGAATGGTTCGTCCACCTACGGCAGTAACACTTGAACACTGATGTGAAGGAACCCCATGCATACATGGGCAGCAGGGGTGATGAGCAGCAGGGACATCAAACGCACTAATTACATGACCCTGCAAGCGCGCTCCACATGGTTTCTGTCCATTTGGAGACCTCCAGATCTATTGGCCTTTTCAAATCGTTTTGTTGTTCCCTTCAGTGCATGCTGATGCGGAAGCTACATGTCTTTCTCTGGTATACTGTTTGAGCTTCATTCCACTTTGGAATCACAGGGACACAAACCCTGAAGAAGAGATGTAGGGACCATGACGGCTATATAAGGCAATGAACATTATGTATTTTCATGAATTATGTTAATGTTTGTTTGAATATGACAGGACTCAAAAGTGGTCACCAAACCACATGGCCGCGTCCTTTTTGGGACCTCCCCGGGTTTTCGCATTTTACCCTAAGGACCGTTCCCTCTTGGATTCCTGCCAGAAGGTGATTGGCCCCTGGTTCCGGAAGAAGTTCGGTGCTGATGGCATCGGCTCCCGCATGTACATGCATCTGAAATCGATTTACCGAAGCAAGCGACGGCGCGGCGCGGAGGAGGCACCTCCGTGACGCTCGAGCACGGGATCGCAGATGTGATGAATTGACGGATTCGATTGCAATAAAGAGCCGCGCGGGGTTGTTTCTGGCCTCAGGGTTTGCAGCATGAAGGAAAACGACCCATATGTAAATATATAAGAATTAAATGTGCAGAGAGGTGCAGAGGATCCTAACCCTAAAGTGCCATGTCAACCATCGTCTTGTTGAGGATTTGATGATAGAAATACTAAATCCATGTGTGGTTTAAGCTGGACTCCCAGCTTTGAACAGCTTCGAACATGGCCGTTCGCTTGTGCTGCAGCTTTCCTCCGAGCCGTCGCTCGCCTCAGTTCCTCAGTTCGTCAGCTCACAGCTTCCCATCCGATCCTGCGGCGAAACATGACACATCTATGGAAGATCCTGGATCCTCGGAATCCTGAACCTCCAGCCAGTACTGTACCACTCCGCATGGTCTCCACCAACCAGTTATTCTACACTCTGACGAACACATCACATGGAAGTGGATGGCATGGCCCCAAAAGGAAGACTACTTTCCTCGACAAACGGGAACTGTCCATGGAACCATGTGATGCGTTCGTCAGAGGGTACTGTGAAATTCAGAGGTTCGAACGGAGGGATCGACCACTGCACCAGAAAGTTGTACGTCATAAGCTGTCAAATGATCTACAACTGCAGTTCTCCTAGAAGGAGTGGAGAGTGTTTGTATCAACTCAACTGAGAGCCGGGGCATTTGTGAACCGTTCAGCCAAAGGGTTTGTCAGGTGAGGACTCTTGGCTTTAGATGTCCTTTCCGTATATTTGGGACAGGTGAGAACCACTGAAACCTCGCTGTACACGTCACACGAGCCAGACCAGAGCTTTGGTTCTGGTTTCGGGCTTGAATCGACCCACGGCTTGGACGCTACGTTGACGTGTCCAAGACGTACGTCGCACGCCTCGGTCTTGGACACTTTGGTCTCCTTTTTGGAGAGGAAAGACCATTGGATCCTTCATTGTAGGAGCTCTGTAGCAAATCCCTGAAACGAATGTTATTTTTGTTTCATTTGGCACACCATATATGATTATTTCAGGGACGTCGAACAAAGAACCCGCAAACCACCTACTGTAAAGGGGCCTAACTGGCGGCCCCAAAAACACCAGTTGTGTGTCATGAAACCTCAAACCTTTCACAGCATAGCTCGTCCCACGACCTTCCGAGGCCACGTAGTGGTTTCTACTTCGACCCGGTGGTGGTCCTGGACTTTCAATCGTTTGGATCTCCCAGATCCACCGGACCAGGCGGTCCTTCTCGGAGCGGAGGCGGATCGGCGGATCGCGGGAGCACGGGGGAGCGACGGTCCTGGACGGTCCTTAAAGCTTCAGAACCCCTGAGAGAAGATCCAGGGCAACGAGACAGAGGACGAGTCGGACGAGTCTGAACATGTCACAGCTTCAAATTGTGCTTTATTAGAGTCGTCTCTGGTGGATGCATTGCTTCGGGTCCTTATGTGGATGTGGTCGCCCAGGTTGTGATGGTGCTGCACCACGGCCCCATTGCACCCATCCCTGAAACGTCCTCAAGGTTACGTGGAGTGGAGTAATGGCCCAACCTTTTTAGCTCTTGGGATTTCAGGGTCATCTGAGTCTTTTCCATCGATCCAACCATGGGTGATGTTGCAGAGGTGGTCAAGTATCTCGGAAAAACAACAAGCTGTGTTTTGGTCAATGCCTTGGACCCGCCTTGGCTCGTCGCGTTTCTCATCGTCGCGTTTCTCCTCCTCGCGGGCGGGGGAATCATCGGGCTCCGGCCCGATGATGCGCAGCAACAACATCCACATTCACCTGGTGTCTGCTCTGGAAGAATCAAATTCACCACCCGAGGTCGAGGTCGGGAAGCGAGGTATTTCAATGGTCACCCTAATCCCCTACGATCCATGATATGATGGAAGATTTACCATGCAGTAGATAAACCAAACCTTACCATGGGAAACGGTATACATTTACTGCAGATGATTTACCATGCAGTCAACTATATTACATACATTTACCATGGTTCGAAACCATATGGGGTGAATCTGTTCAGAATGTTCGAAACCATGGGTCGGTGCCGTCTTACGGAGGTGCCTGTGAGGTCCGAAGACTCGATGATCTGAGCGGCCAGGTGGAAGGCCTAGGGAGTTGGGGCCCCTGAGCAAAACATCACTCCCAAAGATCGTCAAGGGGGAACAAACATCACAAGAAGTCGTTCCGAAATATGCCCGCCACCCTGAAGAATTAACAAGTTGCAACACAAATGGATCTATGAATATAGTCATATTGTTATATGATATAGGATCTCAAATTGAGTCGACTAGTTACATATCGTCCTCGACTAAAGGAGCAGATGTTTGATTCAGTACGCTTTTCATGTCTCTCCGACTCCTAGGCTTTATCCCTCCATCATCATTGCCTACAACTTGTGCTTTTCCACCTGTGTGAGGACCTCAGCTGTTGCTTTTGGTGTACCGAACCGAACCTCACCGCTGCCACCGAGGGTGCGTCCATGGAGTCGGCGGAATCGGCTGCTCTGCTGTGTCCCAGCATGTCCCAGGGTCTTCCTCTTTTTTCGACATCCTATGCCTCCAATGATCTCCGTCTGAAATGGATGCCCTCATGTTGTTCTCTCCAAATGACGCAGATTTGGCGTGGTTGCCCAGATTTGCCCAGTAAGAGTCGATCCATCGGCAAGAGTCGATCCATGATTCTGGGTCAAACCTCGTTATGTACATGTAGGGTGCAGCCAATACCAGTTGGTTAGGTTGCAGGCCTTTCCCAGTGGCATCAGTCAAATCACCATTTTTGGGAAAGGCCCACAACTGTAAGCTAACTGGTAACAGGTGCATCGCTAGTAACAAGGACATTAATTACTACTAGTAGCAAGAAACTACTATTATAGTAGTAATGCCCTTGTTACTCGTAGCTTCTAGCTGCTAGTAGCGATGCACTTGTGACTAGTACCTAACCATCATCACCCACTTGGGCCCTGGTGGGCGTTTTTTCCAAGCTTCACTCCACGAAGAGTCGAGGTGCCCTTGGGAGGTGCCCACGGCACATTGGTGGAGATGGTGAGAAGGAGTGTTCAAGAACCAAGCAAACAACAAGTGGTTTCAGAGTAGATGGCTCAATCCCCAAAATCAAAAAGGGAATTGAATGTAGACATGGACCCCCATCTGTCTAAGACATGTAGGGGGTGCCAGTGCCATCCTTTGAACCACTGTACCAACTGGACTTGCTTGGTTTTCTAGAGGCTTCTTGAGGTTCCAATGGCCACTCTGAAGCTTGTTGAGTGAAACACTGCCTGATGCCACTTGCCACCGCAGTGGCTGTTTTTTGTTCCTGCACCCTAGGTGCAGGGGCCATCCCAGCCATCGGTTTTTGTTGTTGTTGCGGTTTTGCCTTCGGATGATTCTTTACGATCTGGGTGATTCCCCCAAACCTGGGTGATTCCCCCAAACTTGGCATCCGAATCAGCCAATCCTTCCGTTTCGGTTTCTGGCGAATCATTGCCTTCTTTGATGTTGTCTCAGAGCACCATTTTTCTCACGAGCTCAGGTGGGTCGCCTGCAGGAGCATTTGAAGGGTGCCACCGCAAAGCTCGGGGTACTCGAGGCAGAGAAAACGAGGATGAAGATGACCGTTACTGACTGAACATGAGTTGAAATGGGTGTGTAATTTCACGAGACCTTCCAACCAAATATGATCAACTATGTTTTGGTCTATGGTTCTTCCTCCAGAAGCTCTTTTTTGGGAGGTCTCCCCATTTGAGCTACACACCCCAAACCTTGTGGCTTGTTCTCGATTATAAGTTTGCCCTTTTCAGCTTGATCTGTGGGACTGATTCTCGCTGGCATAGTGGTTTCATATTGAGCAGTTTTTCTGTTGATAGATACTGTAGTACATGTTTCCAGATTTTTACAGGACAGGTTCAACCTGGAGCTCCATACAACTTATGGGTGGGAAAGATCTATATAGATCAGAAATGGTTGGCAAAGTGCCAAGGTAGTAAAGAACCATAAGACATAGTTAAGTTAATATATTATTTATTGTTAGCATCTTCTACTTGCACTACTTGGGAGACCAAGTATTGTTTTAGTAAGTAAATGCATCTAAATACGTTTCTGCGATGCATGGGGGTATCTGGGCAGATTTGCCATACAGATCAGATCACTGGCAACGGTGGAACAATGGGTATAGAATCACTGAGTCACCGAATAAGTCTCATACTGAGGAGATTGAGGACATCCCTCCAAGCAGAATGGTTAAACGCATCTGTGAGTGCATCTGTGTTGGTTGTTTTTTTGAAATTGCTGTAGAGCAATTATATACTGTAATCAATCTAATCAAGTCGCAATCAATCAACAGTCAGCATTTGTGGCCAATTTAATATTGGAGGCCTTTGCCTTAAGGACTGCAGTAGGATTGCATGATGCAACTTCTCAAAGCTGCGCAGGCCTACCAGCAACCGCACTGCAGGCTGAGTGGATTTCATCCCGCGGAAGGACGGTTGAAATCGGGCGAACCGGCACCACCTATGGGTCTTGAGTCCCGAAAGCATACAGTCTTGCGATGTTACGGAAGCTGGTGTCGGTGTTAGGCAATGCACGAGCGGCTCGGCCGGTCCGCTGGAGTGTTCCAGATTTCATTTGCCCTTCTCCGTGTTCATCGCCCTCAAAAGTCTTTGCTGCTGTTATAGGCTGCAGGTATTTCTTGGTTCGGAATGGTTTTGGCCTGCGCCACGGCGCTGAAACTCACCTTGGTTGGCTTGCTTTTCCTGGTTGGCAGGGTCCATCGAACCGAACCCACTTGCACCGGCCAGGGCAGAAGACTTGTTTGTGACGCCCAACGAGGCGCCGGATGGCCGGCCCCGGGATGGCCGGATGTGTCGCAGAAGACTGCATTGAATCATCAAACAGGTTGAGTACGACTGGAGATTCTTTAACTTTTTTTGTGTCCCAGTATGTCCCAGCAATATGTGAAGGCACACATGATTATATACAGTAATTATCATAGATGCATCGATCTTTCAGTTCACTGGAGAGTTTGTCGCTTTTTCACATGTCCTACAACATTTGCCTAGGCAATTTTCCTGAAGAGATCCAAAAAAGCGGGGATTTTGCCGCGGATGCTCTTTGAGATCCTTCAGCCTGGGGCCCTGAGGGCCACGTCTGGAAACTCTTCGTTCAGAATCGGGAAAACACAAAGTTCTCTTGATGGAAGCAGGTTGGGCATAGTGGGTGGGATTTACTATTGAAGAATTGCAGTTTCTCAGATACATTTCAGGTGTTGCAGGATGTTTTTCCTCCAGTCGCCTTTGGTTTGCAGCGGTTGCTGGTCACAGATCTCCAGGCGCCACACGTGCACGGGCTTTCCCCAGCCACAGCTCGATTCGCTGGTTTTCCCCACCGTTTTCGGAGGAACGATCGTGGATGGCGCCAGAGAGGCCACCTCCGTGTTGGTTGGCACCTCATCCAGCCATATCCAGCCTATGTACAAGAGTTGTTCAGTGGCACTTCGAGAAACATGTGAGAGAAAGTCTCACCAGTGGCTTTCCACCTCCGAGGGTGTTCCGGGGAGGTGTCCAAACAACGCGGATCCATCGAACGCGTCTTCGTTGGACTTTGGGGGATTAAGGTGCCACCCAGGATCCGCCACCCAGGATCCGTCACGACCCACAAGACGGTAAAGGTTTGCTTTGGGAATTGTGCGATGTAGGGTCAAAACCCTGCAGAAAACTGGAGGGTTCAAGGATGGGTAGGTCTCATGAGGCTGTGTTCCAGTACAGCAGTAACATTCTGTCAAAGACGAGGTTCCTGGTTTCACGTGGTCTCTTCCAGGGCGTTTCACAGCTTTTGGGTAACGGTAAAGGCCTTTACTCATCCTCATCCTCCACTGTCAGTCATGCTTATGGGTCCCACGAGTGGTCACACGATCAGGACCAGGATCATGGTGAAGAAGGCACTGAAGGAACTCCAAAAGCCCGGAGCATCTGCCGAGGTGGGACGACGGACGCGCGGCGACGGACCGCGCGGACGCCCGCGGACCCGAGAACCTCGGACGGCGCACGTTCCACGCCCTTTTGCGGATGGCGGAGGTGAACATGGACTCACAGACTGTTTGACGGTCAAACGTTCGATATATATATATATATACATCTAATTTTATGTATACAGCATATTATATGTCTATAGTTATGTGTATATATATATATACAGTAGTATATATATATATGCATATATATATATGGTCTAGGTCCTGATGTTGAATGTTCTTGAATAACGTGTTTGCAAGGTGGTGTTTGATTGGCCGCCATCTGCAATTGTTTTCAAGTTGCACGGCTATCTCGCCACTGGCAGAGTGTGATCATCGGCTAGACCCCAGGGCCACAACAAAACTCCACACCCCCAGGGCGATAACATTTGGATCTTGCAGAATTCGGTCGAAACCGAGATGAAACATATGTGCTTGCTTCCTCCCCTCTTTTCTGGGCCGGCATGTCTCAACTCATTCAAATGCCCATGGTTTTGCAGTTGAACAATCGGAAAAAGCACACACACACAAGGTTGTGCTATGCAGTATGTATCCAGTGCCCATTCCCGGAACCTTCTTTTGTATATATAGTTCTTTTTCACCCAGCAACCAAAGTCACGACAAACACCCAGCTGGGCTGGGCAGACGAGTTCAGCACTTTTTGGAGGCTCGCGCTCGACTGCTGGATGCCAGACAATTTGGCTTGAAGATGATTGCCAATGTGACTTGGACATGGGCCATGTATAATGGCCAAAAATAGATAGAAACAGTTTCCAATAGGGCTCAGATGTTGATTTGCTTCCGGTTGATGTGATGCTGCCGGCAATTGGGTACGGACAGGTAATACCCCAAGGCTTGGGTTGATAGTTCATCCTCCAGCGAATCCTTCAGTAGGTTGTGGAGTTCTCCTTTCCAAAAGCCTCGACTAGTTTCTTTGTGCAGGCGATACGCATCAGAACCTCCCAGTCTCACCCAGACACTCCATGTACGTGTATGGAATGTATATATATATATAATGACCTACAATATACCTATATACATTGACCAGTGAAACATATAGTAAAACCCATTTGCAACCATCCTGATCTAGGTGAATTTACGCCCATGGAGTCTTTGCTACTCTGGGTCTCGCCCTCCCTCCGCTCCGACCGCACGGTTGACCGTCCGTTGACCGCGGTTGACCGCTGAGGTGACCTACGGCTATACCGGCGCCTCTTTCAGTGGCCGGATGCCTTGTGTGGACTTGGCGGATGCCATCGTGCAGACGGCCAGGCCAGACCGCTTTGGGGAGAAAGAAAGGCGAGATCAGAGATTGAGAAAGGCGACGACTTGGGGATCGAAAAGCTCGACGCTTTGGGGAATGAAGTAGGAATCTGTTGGACGCTCCAACATTCTTATGGAATGTGTTTCCCTCAGTGTGCTTTTGTGTGTGTGCTTTTTCTTTTCCATCATGCTCGGAATGGTTTTGTTGACGCGCTTTCATCTTGTGTGGCATATCGCGCGTTTGTGCGCTTGTCGGCTTGGAACAGACCATCTTAAACAAGGGTTGATGTTGTGAGGCGATGTTGTTTTAACTAGTTAACATGTTGAATGAGATGTACATGTTGAATGAGATGTATAGACTCGTTGACCATGGTCACAACCATTTCCAGCATACCTGGGTGCGGAATCGAGAGAATGCAGGGTATCAAGTTAAGTCCTATCCCAACAACCACGCGAACGAATGGTGTTCTCAGGGTGGTAAGCCTTCAAACTGCTGCAGTGAAGGAATAGACCAAGGGAGTTCCCAGCCGACGTTTCCACACAACAAGTTCCAGGAACCGCCTCCTCTGATGAGGTGTTTTCGTCCTCTCAGATGCTCCGTGCTCCGTATTTCCATCCACAAGCAACCAGATCGCTAATAGGTTGGAGGCCATCGCAAGGAGCTTGCAGGCCATTCCTAGTAGGTGCCTGGTCGGAGGCCAGGGCGAAACGGACCCCACACGCCGCGTCCAGGCGCACCTTGGAGCGCGCCATCCGTTGGGTGGAGCAACACATCCCCCGCGCCGAGGCATGACGGGGTCTGCATGACAGCGGGGGAGAGGCAGCCAGAGGTAATGACCTCAATAGAATGGTTGGACATAGAATGCGGATGATGTTTTGGAAGGCTTTTTACTACGTCCATGGATAAATAGAATTAAGGATAATTAAGGAATGATAATGATAATTACAAGTGTCTTCTGCCCGTTCTACTTCTCTGGAGGTAAACTGTAGATTCTCTAGATTGGGCTGGCCATGGCTGGCCCGGGCTGGAGCACTGCCTTCGGTCCTTCAATATTGGTGATATTGGTGTTCAGACAGTGTTGTGCCAAACCCTAGACTGGTTGTGTAGAAAAGAATGCTTCAACATGCTTCAACAATCTTCAACAAATTGAAGCTGATTCCGATTCTCAGGTGTTTGAGAGGAAGAGGGGTGTATTTGGGTGGGGTCGTTCTGCAAAGCAGTGGTCAAGCAGGCGAAGGGCAGATTGTGATGGTTGCTGATTGATTGTGTGCAAAGAGTGAGATGTCCTTATGTTCATTTGGACATTTTGCTCATCAAAGGGTGGTTGCTCAGGTGTACAAGTCCACGAGCCACAACTCTGAATCTACTGTATATGCTTGGCAGAAAAAGCACGTTCCATGCCTAATCCGCTTGGCTTGTCAGAGACGGATCGGAAGACCTTCTCCGACGGATCGGCAGGTCCGACGAACTGGAGGCCATATGGCAGGTCATGGCACCTGGAGCCCGAGACTCACCCTGCTAGGTTGACCTCCAAAGTAGTCTATTCTGTTCATGTTCTGTATGTCAATTGATTCAAGTTGTGGGTCTTTGGTCCATTCCTGCAGCTGAACCTGAGGTGTTGTGTTGTGCTTGTATTGCGTAAAACCGAAGCCTTTTCACCGCGAAAAAACAACGCGATGGTGCGTGACAGACACTCCGCAGCGTCCGCAGGTCCTTTATGGGGACACCGACTCCATGTTCGTCCGCCTACCTGGGCATTCAAAGGCGGGTCCTGGGCATTCAAGGTTCGTTCATGTTTGGAAGGACTTCGATGGTGTTGATGGAGACTTTTAGGGTTGGAATCGGGGGAGCACGTTTCCCTTTGTGCGCCTTATGGCGGTTGGGATGGAATTGAGGTTAATTGGGTTAGTTTGACTATTGTGTAGCTCAATTGGAGTGGATTCCGCAGTGATTTCTTTTAGATCTGTGAGAAAGCCCCCCCACTTGCCAGGTGAGGGTTGTCAGATTATAGCACGACTCCTTTCTTCCTTCCTTCCTTCCTTCCTTCCTTCCTTCCTTCTTGGCAAGCTCCTAAGTGCAGTGGGCACCACCGGACCTGAAGCACGAATGCTACTGTAGATGCCAGTCATCACCTGAACCTGATAGACATAATGCCAGCAAACATGTCACAACATATGCCAGATAGAATGCCAGAATATATGTCAGAAATATTCAGAAATAAAATAATCTGTTTTGTGTGTGTGTGTGGGGTGCCTGATTTGACTATGTAGCTGAACTGGAGTGGATTCCACAGTGGTTTCTTGATCGGTGCCTTTCTGTTGTGTGTGTGTGTGTTTGGTATTGTATATACATCTCTTTTTTTGGCACATGTTGTTGTTCTGTCACTCACAACTTCGAGCAGTTCGTTTTGAGACCAACGAGACCGCTTCGTGCCGCCGATCACTTTTTCACGTGCGCGCCGGAGGGAGCGGCAGCGCGACGGAGGTAGGTCAGGACATCGCCGAAGTAGGTCTCCATCTTCCCCATGTTCGAAAGGAAAGCGTTCAAAAGACCAGATGTTGCAGAACAAACGGTTGCGGACTGCTCAAAAATTTGGTGAACTCTTTGCACCATAGTGGCGGGTGAACATACCCCAGCCCACGAGATTCTAGCTTACACGCTTCCCAAACGAAATCAACTTGTCTTATCCTCATTGGGGTTTCTTTCAACCACCAACCACCCAAAAGATGGTCTTTTCCCTATCAAAACAGGGTCATGTCTGGGTTCGAGGAATGTTGATGGCTCATGAGCACGTCTTCTGACCGGTGTTTCGAAGTATGGCCACCACCTCCATGACTCCGCCCAGGAGGAGGCTTTCCAGGTGGGCGCCAAGATTGCTCAGGAGGCGAGGTCCCTGCCTCGATTGCTAGGAGCACCAGATTTGCGGATCAGTTTCTGGTGCTCCTTTTAGGGGTAAAGGGTCATAGTGATAGGATGTCATGGTCATATCTTCCCCCAGACAGCTCCTCAGACAGGGCTTGATTTTGCTGTCCTCAGACAGGGAACACTTTCGTGCGCTTCAGCAGGGCAGCCGCGCGGTGTTTGCCAGCCGCCAGCTGCGGGGGCCGGTGATTTCGCCGCAGGTGACGAAGCAGAACCCCCGGCCGGTAGAGCTGCAGATGGAGAAGGTCTATTGGTGCCTTGGGCCAAATCCGTGGGGTGTTTGTGTGAGTGTGTGCACCTTGGACGAGTCCGGGGTGTCGGAGCCTTTTGTGTTGTTTTTTTGTTTCTGACACGGGTTCGTTTGTTTCTTAAGCTTAATTACGGTATGTAGGGCTGGGATGTTCGAGTTAGGTGAAGCATATACCGAAGCATATACTAAACATGCATACTGTAAACTTCGCACTGCACAAAGCATACCCCGAACCAAACCCGACATTGAGGACACCTTGGAACAGCTTGCGACCTGTCCATTCTCACCTTTGGGAAGCCGGCGTCACGTACCTGAGTGACTTTCACGTACCCGGTTACGTAGCAGCAGTCGCTCGACTCGACCTCATCGTGAGCTTGTTTGACGTGAAGAAATTCCGGCCACACCGCGGATTTTTGAGTCTGAAGCTCTTGTCTTAGGCGTCTCATGTTGATCGCAGTTTAATGAGAGCTTCTGGGAGTATTCAAGTCATACACCAATCTCTATAGCGTATATATATATATATTAGTGTGTGTGTGTGTTCAGATGTGTGTTTCGTTGCTTCGTTCTCTTTATTGAAAGGAACAGGCTTTCCGGCTTTTCCTAAATCTGCGATTCGGGCGGAGCACGTGTTCGGAGCAGGGGATATGTTTCGCAGCAGCATTGTGCACTGTGGGGGCTGCTGCTTCTGCTGCTGCTGCTGCTGATTTCACCTCGCACCCTAAGGCCCTGCTGCCTGGTGTCAAAGAAGCGCCAGGGGGCCCGAAGAAGCTCGCAGTACTGGGCTGCAGTTCGTGTCATGCCACGCTGAGAAAGATTAATGATTATAATTATAATCATCACGCATATTTTGCCCGGCAGAAATTCGTTGCACAGGAAGAAAACCCGGTCCGAAGCGGCAGACGGAGCCCCCTCGCGTATGATGCCTGAGAGATCCGCATTTTGGCCCCTCGTCGCGTCTCAGAGACCTGGCCCAAGGCTATGTGGGTCATGCCTGGTCATCCCCGAACGATGCTCGGGCGCCCAGTAGGGGGGGGGCACGTCTGCGTCAGGTCTTCTTGACGCAGACGGAGATCCGGGGTACCAGGAAGGAATCGCTTGGTTTGGACTCCAGGATCAATTAGGTTTCATCACCCTGGAAGTCAAAGACCATTTTACAATGGTTGATCTGGTAAAAACCTTAAAGTGAAACAATGGTTGTTCGGTAAAGGCTATTAAAACAATGGTGGTTCGACTTCTAGGGATCATATATTTCATCAGCTTTCCAGGGTTTGGACCCACACCCTCCCTACACCCCACTCCTTTGGTCTTTGCGTTTCCTTCCATCAGCACTAGTCAGAACGTATGGCATGTATTTAATTTTACTTATATGGAAAAGGGTTGTCCGGGGTGTCCTGCTTTATGACTTGTTCCCTTCTTCCAGGAGTAAACTTGTTCCCTTCTTTATTTTTTTCACATCTTAAAGGAGTATACTTGAAGGTGATTGAAGGCATGTTTCTTTTGTCTTTGATTCTGATTGCAAGATGGAAGACTGTGGGGGTTGAAAGGTATGCTTTGCATGACATGACATGTGTTGTGTCGTTGTAACTTTCTCGTTTCTCAGTTTTGGGCAAGGACAGAGATGGACAGAGCATGATTCTAAAAAGAGCAAACGTCTAAGGAGTGGACACAGTCTAAGGCTAAGGAGTGGACGCAGTTTTTTATTCGTACTGGGTCGACTGACTGGGGCTTAGCCGCTGATATGGGCAGGGGCAAGTTGATCAACAGTTGGACGATGCATCTGGACCGCAGGGGGAACCATGGGAATCGTCCTGTCAATACTGTTTGGAACAACTCCAGAAACAGACATCATGCCCACAAACAAAGCGGGTTTGTGAACGCGGACCAGATAGCATGACGTTAACGTTTCTTTTTTGTGGAACTGGAACTGCACTGGGAATGAACCTCGCGGCCAATGATACCAGAACAGATAATCCTCCCTAACCACGACGGTTTCTTGCATGGTCGTCGCATCTTCAAGGGGATTTCTTGAAGGTGTTCTTTGACCAAATCTGTTTTGGTGAATTCAGACCGCTGCGACCTCCACCTGTTTTGGGACATGTTCATGTGAGTGAGGTCCTGATTGGCAAACTCAGGGAAGCAAACTACAAGATCAGGATGGGCAACATGTGTTTTTCATGGCCATGTTACATGTTGCCAAATTCTCTTCGCGGATGTTTTCCTGCAACTGTTGTCAACTGGCTGTGAGTCAAAATCTCCCCCACCAAACCATGGGAGGTTGACATCCCTTATAGAGGAATCTGCAGGGTGCAGCTATGACCTGACCCACTGGGTGCAGCTATTCCGACCTGTTTGGAAGAAAAGCGTCGGCATGTCTCAGGTGGCTCCCGTCTTCGATGCCAAGGGCATTGAAACCATTCGTCACTTGGAGGAGAACAGGGCGTTGGAAAAGAGTCTCAGACCAAAAATTGCCCACTTGATGGTGAACCGGTGAACCTTTCTTTGGGATATACTCCCCCTCAAGATGGCTCGATTCCCACATGGTGATGTACATAAGGCTTTGCCAAAAGAGGTCTTTGGCATTTGAGCCAGAAGTTCTGGACAGGGCTGTGTGGGTTGCCCACCTACGCGTTGGAACAGTTGACTCGCAAAATAAACATAAGGCAAGCACCGAAGAATAGATTGCGGAGGCTTCCTTCAAATGAAATCTTTGGAATACCCTCCTGCAGATGAACATGGACCCGAAAACCTTTGGCTTGTACACGAAAATGATCGAAATCAGGCATCACATTCTTTCCTTTAGACTCCCTCAAATCCACGTTTTGGGCACGTGGATGACACCACCTGTTCCAAGGTGTTCGGTGTGAGCTCATGGTCATCCAAGTCGAAAAACGGGGGTCCAGGGTCCAGGGTCGTCGCGTCTGGGAACCACAGTTTGTTTCACACCTTCTCAACACCCGAAATGGTCCGTTTCCGAGGCAGAGATCAGTGTGCGGCCACGCAGCACCTGATGCGAGGTGCTTTGGAGGCGTGGCCGAATCGGTGGGCTGCCCGTGGGAGAGAGAGCTTTGTTTTTTCTTTTTAATGCATCCTTATGGGTGGGGCGGGTTCCCTATTCTAATACAAACCTATAGGATCATATAGGTTGATATATCATGATATATCACCTTTTCCTGATTCATGATGCCTTTTGGGATCTTTTAGGATGCACTTCCCTCCAGAGAAACCCATGCGGTATCACTAGATATCTGTCTATATACAACTTCTCTCACAGCACGATTCTTGGCTCCCCTTTTGTTTGGGTGCCCCTTTTGGCGAACCCCAACTCGGGCCCAACTCGGACGGTGGAAGAAACGTGTCTTGGCAGGACTTCTTCGAGTCGAAGGGGAACTTGTCTCAGCTGAAGCGTGGCGCCTGAGGGCGAATCGAACACGACCTTCGGAGCCTGGCCGGTCGAATTGTCTGTGGGGCGATTCGCCCCTCACCGATCTGAACAAGCACAAAAAGCAGGTCGCCGTGTCGGGGGTGGTGTGAGGTGGTGTGATTTCTAGAAGTTCAGTTCTTATGAGACACACCCAGGGGGGCTCATAGACCCCAAAACTGCTGCATGTTGGTTCGGTCCAATACCCTAGTCCCAAACCTCAAGCGTTCCCGCGTTCCATCATATTGGGTTCTTTCTGAGGCCAAATGGCCTTGGGCAGCAGAGACATTTGTCTTTGGCCTTGAACATGTCTTGGACATCGGTCTTAAAGTCGTCTTGGACTTCCTGCCGGACCATCCTGTCTGGGTGCCCAATGGACATCTCTAAGTAGTGTAGGGTACTCCAGCCACACCCAGACTGGATGGTCCTGGTGGATGTCCATTTGGGGCATCTTTCAGTGCTCCACAGGGGCCTGTTGTGTTATGTGTTGTGCTTGGAGGATTCCATGTGATGCACGGTTGGTGGGCAAGTGGTCCTTTTTCTTCCACAAGCAGGAGGCTCCAGGCTTCCTTGGCTGTCAAGATGAAGCGTTTGATGTTTAGTTCCGCTTAGTTGGGGTTGTGGTCGAGCAAGAGGGAGTTGTGATGAGTTGTGTGTGTATGTTCACCACTTAGGGTCTTAGATCCAAGCTGAGTCCGTCCACTTTGAGCCCAGTTCGCGATGCAAAGTTGCCGCAGTAAGTGAAACAACGCAGTCCTTTAGCTGGGAGGATTCTGCTAGGTCTTGAGCTGCAGACCGTACGGTCTTTCATGCATTTTCACAAATTTTCATTGGTTCTACAGACCCCTACACGCGCGCTCCAAAGACCCGTAACGGCTGAGGCAGTTCATTCGGCGGCATGTGGATAGGAGTCCGCGACCTGTAGAAGGGCGGTTTTTGTGGGAATTCCGATAGCCATGCAGGTTGCTCTATGTGTTTCTAAAGTTTGTCCAAGTAGATAGTGTGCGTTCAAACTTTTTGGAACACATAGTAGTAGGAGGCACTGACCTTTTATTGGGACTCTGAAAGAAGTCACTTTGAAGGACCAAGCAACGCATGTGTTGCGACCGTTGTTTCTGAAGGATTCACTTTTTCGGTCGTTACAAGAGGACAGTCCACACATTTTAGCACACTATGATCTCACAGGTTGATCTCAACCAGGGTCAGATTGGCCAGTCAGGGAGTGTCGCAGGATCCGCGAGGGCCGGTTCACGGTGAAGGACTTCATTTTCCATCACGAGGCCCACGACGGGATTGTGGGTGGGACGCCGACACCCTGGTATGGACATTGATGTCATGGAGAGTCCAGGCATTTCAACATTTCTGGATGGGACGACGTCAAGAACTCAAGGCTTCAATCTCCAAGTTGTGAGAAGTGAGGAATTCAGTGAGGAAATCGGATCTCCAGTGAACTGTGAGCAGTTCCATCTTCTCAGCACCAGCACCTTTTTCACGGGGTGCCTTCAGATGACCTGGCGGATGACCAGGTGCCCGGCCGTGGCTGGTGCCACAAGTGGATGGCACTCATCATAAATTATCCCGGTTGATCCCCATCAACAGGATCATTTGTTCAAGGGAAGAATTCCCCAAGATCATCCCCAAAGCGTTCCAGTATATCGGTGTTGAGAGACCTCCCAAGGCTTCAGTAGTTATAGAAAGAAGGTCAGCAACTCGAATCTTCTCTTCGTCTCCCCACCTCACCGAAATGAAACGGAGGCTGTTGGAACCCGCTTGGGTCCTTCCACTCTTTGGAATGATCATGGTTACGTTAGGTGATGTTAGTGCACTTAGGTGGATGGAAAACGGCCCCGTGACTCGACTCGACTTGGATGACCTGATTTCGGTCGACCCGGATGCCCCGGTGGTGGACAACCTCCACGTCACCGATTTCAGGGAGTTGGTGCCCTGCAGATCGACCCATCCAAGAGAGATTCTGTTGGATCCATTCTGTTGGATTCCCAGGGTCCCGTGGGACCAGCGATTTCGAAACGAGAACTGCCTGGAGAGGTCAGGGCCCCTGATGAGTACAAGGGCCAGGGCCCTTTAGCTGCTCAGGCAGGGTCAGCACGGACGCCATGCAGAGTTCATGACCGCCCTTGGATGTCCTACAATTTTAGCTTGTCAACATGTTTATCGTTGTTTATCTAAATAACCTGGTGGTTCGTTTCAACATGTTTCAAACATCATCCACGCATGTTCATGCAGAAGTGCATTTTCTCGTACTTTCTCCATTTTTCAGATGGTGAACTTTCTGACTAGGTGACACCTTCCCACCACATCCACCACCCCTCAAAAGAGTTCTTTGGCAAACAGATCCTTAGGGATCCTTTTTGGAAAAACCTCATCATCATCATCATCATCATCGTAATCACAAGAGAAACCATAATATACAATATATAATAACATAATATAATATATTGATGAGTTGGGTTTGGCCCATTACCTGTAAAAGTCGGTAAACATTTACCAAACATAACATTATCACTATTTAGAGAAAGGCCTTTTATACTAACCATCATCATACACTGATCCACTGATACTGGTGATAGAGCCAAATAAGCATCATAATATTACCTGGACCATACTGAATACTGTTTGTGTGTCTAATGGATATCTCTAAGTAGTGTAGGGTAGTCCAGCCAGGACACCCAGACTGGATGCTCCTGGTGGGTGTCCATTTGGGGCATCTTTCAGTGGAGGCTCCAGGCTTTCTTGGCTGTCAAGATAACAATGGTAATAACAAATAACAACTTAAAGAGTCATCCTCCGCCCCCAGGCCGTGCGCCGCAGCGGCCTTCCTTGGCCTTCGCCGGGCGAACGGTGGGAGAACATGGCGGAGAGAGGTTTCAGTCCCGATCATGTTGCCACTATAATCACTATAGTATGTGGGGATGAGTCAAAAGCTGGAGCCCTGGTCCACCAATGAGTCGCGAGTCTCCTGGTCGTCTCGTCGGTAGGTCAAACGGTCGGTCCCCTGTCAGAAGCATGGTCAGCCACTCGCGCATCAAATCAAGAAGTGTACCGCTACTTCGAAGGCCCGAGTGGGCATATATAATATGTATAATTGTATAACATTGTATAACTATAACCACTGGTTCCAAAGACTTAATACGTAGACCTAGAAACCCTGGTTCCTTGCATATGGCAACTGTGATCCACTGGGAATGGTCAAACCCATGTTTTTCTTGGGGTGTCCTTGGTACTGGTTTCTCCCACAGTGAAGGGGCTCCTACCAATGGTTTTTGGATGTTTTTGGGATGGCAAGTGTTGCATTTTCACTCACTCGCTGACTGGCTGACTGGCTGGCTGGCTGACTGGCTGCCTGACTGACTGACTGACTGACTGACTGACTGTTTGTCACTCCCTCACTCACTCACTCATGCACGCACACACACACACACACACCCACGCATGCACGCACGCACGCTCCGGGCGCAGAAGTGTTCCGCGAGGTTTTCCTTCGTGGTGGCGCAAGGCCGGCGAAGCTGAGAGTGGTGGTGAAGGAAGAATCACCCCGGCCGGAATGGAGGAAGCAACTCATCCTGTCAGTCCTTGAGTCGCTGGAGAAAAGAATTCAGAATCCAAGAAGTTCATTCTGTCAGGTCTTCCAGATGTTGGGCCACGCAAGAAGTGGAATCAGGTTCTGACCTACTGCAGTAATTAGGTCAGAAGCTTTGCACCAGCTGCGAGGTGGTGAAAACATGTGAAAACAACATAACAGTCTTCATGGTATTTGTATGAATTTACAAATCTATATATGAAATTTTACTGTGTCTTGGTGTTAAACGCGTTGGTGTTACAGGATTTCTCTCGATCAACCGAAATGCGCGAGACCTCGACGTTCTGTAGTTCTGACATCATTCTCGCCGCCATTTCCAGACACTACTGGGTCGAGTGCTCGGCCTGCAGTCAGTTGACAGGAACAGACGGTTGCGATGCTGATAAGCTAACAGTTGCGATAAAAATGGCGTACAAATGATTGCAAAAGCTGAGGTGTAAGTATCACTCCACATCACGCCACAAACAAGGCACATGGGCGTCCAAACAAGACAAGTAATGTCAACCTCAGGGATTGGAACTCCTGTTCTTCATAAGAACGGAGCTCGCTGGCTTCTTAGCACACTAGACGAGGATTCCCAAGAGACGCTTGAGGGGGTGGTGCAGGATTTGTGTAAAATTTATTCTCCAAAAGGATCACCAACATCACCCAGACAGGACTGCATCTGAAATGATCCCATCCATGATTCCCACCTACTTGTACTTGACTATTGAATTTGAGATTGAACTTTAATTGTTCGGTGCGAACAAAGAAATGACACACGCACTCCACATCCTCATGACCTTCCGCCAAGCACATCCCAAACCAAGACACCTCCGGAGACCAGCAGAGCACCCATCATCTTCAGTCCAAACATGGCCCAGCTGGAATTTGCCGTGGGCTGCACATGCGGCAGTTTGCTAGGTGGGAATGTTCGAATCTCGCGGGATGTTTTCAGTTGAAGGGTTAAGGGTTAAGGGTTACCCTCGGACTCACCGAGATGGAGTGGAGAAGCACCTCTATAGAGAAACATGGCCTTTACGACCATGTTTTACTTCCATGGAGGGAGGGTAGCTGAGTGGATCAACCGGTCCACCTAGCCAGACTATGACCTTCCGGTCGACACATGTACCCACCCTGAACGGGCGTTTCACGTCCGCTTCAACGTCTTCACGATGGCGAAGAGTCGACGTCCAGGGCTGCTCAAAGTGGATTTCTCCAAGGTTCCAATGGCCTGGATTTGTTTGTTCTTTGATGGTTTGTGAGCCAAAATCGGATCGATCAAGGACTGGCGGTGAATGGTCCGAAAAAGAAAGCAAGCCTGTTGAGTTTGCCTTGCAAAACGCTGGCAATGCAGAACCTAAACTATGGCTATGGCTTCATTGGACTGCTGAGGTTGTTGAACTGCTTCAGGGTCGGTACGTGGTGCAGTGAGGTGTTTATTGAGTTAACTCATCTTCCCCAAAGACAAGCGAAGTGCTGGACTGAGCGGTTGGATTTGTTGGTGTGGGCAAAGAAAGTCTTGATGGCTTTAAACCTGATAGCTCTGTGCTATCATGGGTGATTGGGTGGATCGGTGCTGTTTGCGAGCAAACAGGTGTCGTAAAGAATCCAAACCGCGTCCGTAGCTGGGGGGAGCCCGAGGCCATTCGAGGGTATTCAGGTGGAAGACACTCCCTGGAAGTGGAGGGCACCGCCTGTTTCACCGGTTGTTTCTAGAGGAAAGTGGTCATTCGCGTCATCGGGGCCGTTGGCCATCCACGGAAATCGGCCCGGTTGGGAGTGTTACAGAACGACCACACACGAAAAAGGACGATCCGAGAGGCGACATAGGAGGCCGCAAAACCATCCTCAGGGAGTACTTATAACATCTTATAACCAAGAAGCCCGGAGACCTGCATGACACCAAAAAGCCTTCTTCGAATCCCTTCAGCCTCGGAAGGCTTTGGCCTCTTTCGTCCTCTTAGCCGACGAAGAGCCACCGCCGGGCCCAATGAGCGGTTCTGGGACGTGCTATTGCTGCGGATCGAGTCGGCTGCAGCTCGTGTAAGACATGCAGAGTCGAATGGGTGGCCAAGCCAAACCCATCCATGATCATCCATGTCTATTGAAGTTGGAAAAAGCACGGATCAAGAACTGAGATGAGTTTTGCGCGCAAATCCTGACAAGTCTTGTTGTGTTTAGTATATATGGGTTGTGTAGCGGCAGTGTAGCGAGTGGTCAAGACAAGATACCACGGTTGTCCGCTTCCACTTTGAAACCACCTGGATCTTCCAAATGCCCAAAGTTCCTGGTTGTTTTAGTTTTGTGGTCGTTTTGTTTGTTTGCCTTGTTTTACGGATTTGTGCGCTTGTCTGGCTTGTCTGCTTGTTTTGTGTGCGTTTTCCGATATAGATTGCGATTGTTTTACCGAAAAGCGTTGACTTGCGTGCGTGTGCGCTGAAAACTAGGTCCATGACCCCAACTACCAGATGTTGTTCTTCAGTTGGAAGATCCAGGCAGGTGGCCAGCCACAATAGATATAAGATGATATAAGACTCTATAAGACAATGTAAGAGTTTCAGTGAACTGGAGCTCTGAAGCTCTACAGACTGTGCACCCAAAACGGCGGAGGATGTGAAATACTGGTGCCTACTATGCCTACTACGGCGCTTTCTTCGACGAACGCGCTCTTCGTCGGCAGTCGAAGTCCACCTTGAACCAGCCAAGGAGCTGGGGCCATTTCTCATCTCGATGACCTTTCAATCCATGGTCTACCCGCTGAGTATCGCTTATAGCTTTTACTCCCGGCACACTGCAGCTGTTGCTTGGGTCCCCAGCACAGGCGAGGGTCCGGTGATGGTGCATTGGGAGGCAGTCAACATTATATAATATGAACCGAGAATTGTAGAGGTGATAAGTGAAGAAGCTGCAGATGACAAAGTGATAGTGGTCAGGAATTTCTTGCTGCACAGCCGGGGATGCTTGGGATGCTTTTTGGAGCAATCATTTCAACTTGCCAGGTGGGGTGTATGAACAGTCGTTCATTACGGTTTTCAGAACGCCCAGACACCAAAAACACCTTTGTCGCTGGCCACGGAGTTCAGGGACAATCGGTTTCAGTCCCGGCCACCGACAGGCGGGCGGACAGGCACTACCACAGCCCTGCAGTTAAGGGGATGAACTAGGGTGTGGACCGTTCAAACACAACAACTGTGTGTATGAGTTTGGATGAAAGGTCTCCGCTTCCAATGTCTTCCAATGAACCAGACAGATGTAAAACTGATGTCTTCCCGCTTGGCAAACCTCATGCAAAACCCTGTGCAACTCTCAATGATTTTGGATCTTCAGGCTGAAACTAATCGCTGCCATGCGGAGATCAATCCATCTCCATCCATCTCCATACCCACCCGCCAGGCAGCCTCTTTCAGGAGAAACTCTTTGGGCAGCGGCTCTTCCTGTATCTCCTCTTCGGATATCTTTTGAATGACCCCTGGTCCAAGATGGCTTCTTCCACATTCATAGGAGCAGCTGAGAGGTCATTCTGGCCAACGATCTCGTACCGAACGCAGGCGTCCCACATCAACGCAGGCCAAGTCTTATAACGACTCCGCTGGTGATCCGAAGGGCTGTTCAGAGGGCGAGACTGGCAGTTGCACCTATATCCAACCAGGTCAATGATTAAATGCATCCCAACAATAGATAGAAAAGTAAGAGACCCCACTCAAAATGTATGGGAAACATTGCCGCTGTCTATCCGGTCTATCTGAAATCCACTGAGTCGTCGGCCAAATTGAGGGACTCTTATCGAATCCTTTTTTGTGTGTCCAACGCCATGGTCTCTGGATGTCCCTCGCCGAATCGACTTTTCAAGATCCTATTTGGATTGTGGTCAAAGGAAGAAATCTTAGCACGGAAATTCGGCTAGCTGAGTCTGGTATATTATTGTGTATAGCTTATATATATATATATTAAATGAAATGCTTTCTTACTTGGGATTTCTTCCAATCTCCTTCCACCCAAATCCAGGTTCTTGGCCTGGCCCTCACTCCGGTTCCTTTCTGAGGATTTGCCTCGCTGCTGGGATAACATTCTTTTTCGACTCCACCACGGGGTGAGTGGCCTGGATTAGTCGATTTCGAGCCCCATCCCCGTTCGCCTTCAAGGACCATTTTATACACATGGTTGAGCTGGTTTTGTTGTAGTGTACAAACCCTGATAGTAAAACAATGGTTCTTGACCCAAAAACCATTAAAGCAATCAATAATGGTTTTTTGAATCGTAGGGGGTAGATGGGGGTAGAGTCTTTGGATTGGGTCATCCCATGTTTGCCTCATGGCCGTTGTCCGTGCCACCATGAGTCTTCCAGGGAGAGTACATGTTCTACCGTGGAACAAGCCTTGATTCAAGAAGCCAGTGTCCACTTGCTTTGGGTGTGTCCTCCAGCTTAGGGTTTCTTAAAGCAAGTGGAGCAAATCTCGATTCGCGAATCGGGCGAAGAGCGCGGGCGAATCGGAAGAAAGGGATTTGTGCTTTTGAACCCCAGCGGAAGATTGGTGCTTTCGACGGAGAAATCTGCCAAGCTCTTAAAGTTTCAATTCAATAGCTATGTAAGCAAGGAATCCAGGAATCACTCAAAGAGGAAAGCACAGGTTGCAAACCTTTGATCCTAGACAAGACCTAGTAAATGAGATTGACAAAAACAACTATGTCATAAATAGCACGGATACCACGGGGACCAGGGTGGCTCGAAAGGGGGGATGGCCATACAGGCCAGTTACTGCACCCCAACGTGTCAATGGGGAAGTCCTTCGATGGAGCCCACCTGCAACACCATGACATTCCTTCAACAAAGAGTGGGGAGTGCAATCAATGCAAAAAGCCCCTTGAGCCATTTTGAGCCATTCATAGATTTGGGGGGACGAGGGACAGATTTTGCCTCCCAATCTCCACTCTTCTCACGAACACGACTGAGGTTTGTTAGGCATTTTGGTGCTGCTTCAGGCACCGGAAGGCGCTTTCCACCTCAGCGACTGCCCCCCCGCGGGAGAAATCCATAGGGCCAAAAAGTTCCCTGCTCGGACCGCTCATCTTCGACCAGATAGGTGTTGTTTGAATGTTTTCCACTTCCATGTTGTGAGTGGGAGACGGACTTTGGAACATGGAACCCTATAATTCTTTCGCCGTCAGGGGGCGCGCCGTTGACCTTGGCCATCTTTGCCGCGGAGTGCGGGAGCTTGTTCTACAACGCTTGGTTGATACACCCGAGCCTCGGGACCTCGGGCGGTGGGACCACCCGGAGGTCTCGCCTGGGACCTGGGTGCACTCGGAGGTCGAAAGCGAACGGAACAGGTCTGAGGGACGAAGGTCTTGGGAGGTCCATGCTGAGGTCGTTTTCGAACAGGTCCATGCTGAGGCTTCACGGGATGGGCGCATCTATGCACGGCCAATTGGCGCAGCTATGCAGCGCCAATGACTATAGAGTACACATGCATATGAGCTACGGTCAAGACATGCGAAGATCAATTTGGTAAAGAGGGGTAGGTTTGTGCACAAAGCCCTGCAAAACCATAGGGTCCACATCAAAACCGAGAACCCAAGTGCGGTATATGAATGCGGCGAACTCAAAACACTGCGTAAAACGATAAGGTAGAAAATCCAGACCGATAACGTCCAGTTTTTAGTTGAATTAAGGATAATAATGAGTATATGTTTGTATTAAAAGAATGTCTCTCAGATGTACACATGATATTCAGAACATTTCAGAACTGTCAGGAAATCGAGGGTTTCAGCCAATCGGATCGCTCCCTTTCGTTCGAGTGTCACATCGGTCGACCAGATCGCGCTGCCTCCATGGGCCTGGTGGACTGCCGGGGTTGACTGGGAAAGGCTGATCCTCCAGTCCCGAGCTCGGAGATTCCGACTCCCGGCACTCCGAGACTGTGTCGACTGGCCATTGAGACCATTGGTGGTTGAATCACAAGGGTTGAGTCCTCAGACCGCCAGAGCTGTGTCATTGGATCATCTCCAGGTCGGGTCGGTCGGTCAGGTCATTCCTGCCTGGGGCCTGCGGTCTAGCCCACCGGCCATACCGGTGCTTCGGTCTTCGACCTCAGGACGATGCTCCACTTGCCGCGACACTTCCCCTGGTGGCCCAAATCCGACGGTCTCATCGACGTGGCCTATCGCGTGGGGATGACGGTCTCCAACATCGACGCTCGGAGGCCTTTGTTTCGTTTTGGTGAGTCTGAGGTGCTTCCCCTAGGGCTCCAAGTACATCCTCAGAAGGTATGAGGGGACCCTCCTGGCACCCACCCCAAACACTTTCTCGGAAGGTTCTTGGAGCCCTAGGGCTTGCAGGGTCAGGTGGATTTTCCGAGTGAATCTACGCACCCGACGAAAGAGGTTTTGTTCCGCTTCCTGAAGCAAATCTAAGCGATAACAACATACAGGGGCCGACCATGGCTGAGTGGATTTGCGTTTTTTTCTTTTTCTGAGGATACCCGAAGCCTTTTTCTGGGTCGCATGATGTTGCACAAGGAAGATCTCTTTGACTCACACGAAAACAATGTTGGTAGCTGAGGTAGCCTTCTTACAGCAACAAGGAACTCGAGGGAAATCTTGTTCCCCTACTTGCATTGAGCACATGAGAGCACAACAACCAAGGGTATACTCCAAACCTGGGGCTTGGGTGTGGTACAGGAGACTTGAGCCCTGCACTTGCTGCATAGCGACCCAAGGATGGTCACCGCGTTTTCTTTTTTGTGTCAGCGGCCGCGGTCCGTTCACGGACGTGTATCGAACGGACGCTGTGAACGACGGACGTGGAACTTCCCCACGCCTTGAGACGTAGCGCAGCTGATGACGCGTGGGGCATGGCCGTTGGACGAACGCCCGTTTGGGGATCGGCACTGAACCTGAGGTACGGTGATTGGAGACTCTTTGATGTAGGTGCCAGGAGGGTCCAATCACCGTACCTCAGAGGGTATGTGGATCCCTAGGGTAGATTCAAAATTGATGTTGGAGCCCGTTCCATGAACTGGGATTGCAACAGCTGATTAATCTTAGCATAATTTGGAACGTCCTTGTTGAGTCAGCCAGAACTGATTTCCATAAGTGTTGATGTTTGTTTAGGCAGACATAGGCAGACTTTGCCTCGTCAACGAAGTCTGCAGCTGCAGCTGCGCTGAGGTTTCTGGTTTCTTCCTGATAGATTGCTTACGAGCAAATTGGGCAGAGCACAAGGCCTTCGCGATCTTCTTTGCAGCTGTGGTGGCAAACATGGGTAGCGTAAGTGTTGATGTTTCTCACTCCAACACAGGTGGAAACGGACAGCCCCTGTTTGTAGAGGAAAAGGGACCATGTTCCATGACTGTTGGAGGGTACGTAGATAACTCCGGACCCCAATGCTGTTGGGAGTGGCCAATCTCGAAAGTGAGTGGCGGGCAACCCGAGTTCGTTTTTGCCCACGCCCAGGAGAGCCATTCGCTAAACCTTCGTGTTCATGTTTACTCAGTGTGTTGTCATATCGAAGTTGTGGGTAAGCAAACCTGCACGCGGGTAAGGTTGCGTAAGCTTTTTGTAAGGAAACCTTTTGCGTAAGCCATGCGTAAGCTTTGAAGAAATATATTCATGCAACCCCTCTCAGAAGTGCAAGAACTAAGGAACAGTCCAACTCCACACACACACATGCAGTCTAAACTCGAAGTGCTGAACACGCACAGTCCTAACACTACAGCTGAACAGTCAAACCCCCATGTGTGGCAGGCCCAAACCAGCAGCAAACATACACACAGATGCCAGTGATCCAAAGTAGATATGCGCAAACACATGTTCTTTATTTTAAATAGTAGTTTTCAGAAATCCCAGCGCGTAAGCTTGCGTTGTGGTGTCAGCTGCATTGTGTGCAAAACTGATGTCGCGTAAGGTCTGCGTAAGCCCTTCTTGCTCCAAGTGTACCGCGTAAGCAAACATGTGAGTCGCGTAAGCACAAGCGTAAGCACAATGATACGACATGGGATTTCATCAAGGTTTTGAGAAACGCTCAGGAGGGAGATAGGAATCAGGGATGCCACGGCTCCGCGGGCCACCTTTTGGGTCATGTTTGGGGCCAAATCGACAGGTCAAAGATATGATGCGTTGGTCTGAAGATGTTCAGCAAGAATCCATCCCTTTCATTCCCTTTCAATATAACATATATATATATAAGTTGTGATTGACACAAAGGTAGCAACAAAAGATCCTCCTTCCCTCGCACAGCCGCGTGCGTTTTCCACTCACAGCTCACCTGAAGGTTGGTACGAACGGTCGGGCGCCTCGCCCTGCAGTGTCCTCACTGCTTCTATGGCTCAGGTCACGGGTGACCCACCCTACACCACCCTTGCGGCCTCGCACACTCGTGGCTTCGGACGTGAACACACCTGAGTGGGTCAAGACTGGTTCCTCAGTGACCGAAAGGTTCGAAATTCACACTCATCAAAAATTCTATCAATCTTTTTTTTGTTTGTGTGTCGATCATCCTTCTTGCTGCTGGTCTCCCATTAGAGGGATCCCGGACTCAAGCCACCTAAGGCGTGTTCTGCTGTCAGCTCGCTCTTTCAGCACTTGCAGTTCGTCATTTAGTTGATACATGCCTCGTTGCAAAGTGTATCGGAGGAAAGTTCCTTGCATCACCTTAGTTAGTGCATCAGCGAGCTGAGCTCCTGTATGAACCCATCTTAATTGAATGCCTTCGGATAGCAAATCTTTTATTGCCTTTGCTTGAAGTTGTGTACGGAATTCCTGGCAATTTGGTTGAGCAGTTCGGGTAACCAAATCATACAAAGATTTGCAATCTGTGACAGCTACTGATCGTGGCAAACACTGGGCTAAGGCTGTGGTAGATTGGATTGGTTTGGGCTCACTCTTAAAAACCTCATGTGGTCGTTTCCAATTGACTTGGGGATTTTGGATCCATGCCCAATAGAGTCTCATCCAAGATAGCTGGTCTAAGCTTGTTTGGAGCGATGTTGTTTCGGCTGACAAAGTACTCGTAACTACTTTCTGGATCTTGCGGCAACCCCAGGACAACGGGCTGACTGGGCATTGATAGTTCTCACTTATACCCCTATGGGTGGCCAAGATGATCATGCCTGTGTGACTTTCTGGGCTCTTGGCCGACGCAAATGATGCGTCCGAGAATAACAAGAATCTGAGATCCTTGATTGGGATGGGTTGGATTCTGATGCATGTGTCTTTGTATCGTTTTGCTTCATGAAGTACACGGTTGGCATCGTGCAACGTTTGGACCGTGGCTTTGTTGATCTCACTTTGGATGTAGCTTAGTCGACTTGAAAGATCCGGTCTCGTGTTGATGCTCGCGTACTGAAGACTTCCCACAAGTGCACGGAGCGAGTGTCTCTCTTCGGAGGTCACTTCATCCGTCAGACATGTTCGTCTGCTTGCATTCATGTGGATTGGCTCAATCTTGCTTACATACTTGGATTGGGACATGATGATACTTTTGTCTGCCTGTTGGTTCATCTCAACACCAGTGAACGTGAATTGACCTACTTTCTTTGATCCAAATGGGAATTTGGCTTCTAGCTTTGAGATTTGTTCTTCAAAGTATTGATCTCCTCCACCTAGTCCATCGTCAACATGAACTCCTAGGACCCCCGAAATTTTGCATTGTCCTGGTTTGTATAGTACGTATGCGCATGGGTCGAAGGGTGCTGGAATGAAGTTCAAATCACGAAGGGTCCGATCCAATTCCTTATGCCACAAATAAGGAGCATCGATCAAACCGTAGGCTGATTTTTCGAGTTTGCAGATTTGATTGGGTTGAAGTTTCAATGCCCTTCGAAGTTCTTCAACAGGTTCCAGGCCTAGAACTCGATCTTCCTGCGTTTTGCCTTGCAAAACTGCAGCTTTGATATCGAAGCTTTTCAGAGTCCATCCCATGGATGATATTGCTTGCAACAAGAGCATTTTGGATTGCTTTCCAAGTGTCGGCGAGTCCCGGGGTATGCTGTCTAACTGGGGATCTTGATATCCAAGGACTACTAGACGTGCTTTCGGTTTATGGGTCTTTGGTCCTGGTCTGACGTTCTCAGTTGATCCGGTTTGAAGGTCGTCAGCATCAAGGGGTTTCCATACGCATATCCAGCGGCAACGCATTACCTGTTCCGGACACAGCTGATCCCGAAAGATTTTACTCACCGTCCCTGTGTTTAACCAATTTGTGATCTCCTTTTCCTTTGCTTGACGGAAGAGAGCTTGTTCTTCGGTGGACAATTGGTGCATCTTTACTTCTGTTCGGTCACGCTTGGTGGTGGTAGTCATCATGATAAGATCTGTTGCTGGTGAGTTTTCATCCCATTTCATCATTGTTTCTTGGGGAAACAGGAATTCAGCTTTCCAACCTACGGCTTCTGAGTCTATTTGGGTTTGGCACCAGTTGACCTGATCTTCTACACTTAGTAGGGAGTCGCATACGAGTTCATCACTGAGATCGGATGCTTCGCTTGGGACCGGCACACTTGCTGCATCCTGATGACCGCCGGGGTCACTCGGCAATTCGATGCTTTGTCGGCTCGCTGGAGACACTTGACTCTCTGGAATCGAGGGCTCTTGATCTGGCTGGACCTCTGACAAATTCGATGTGTTTCCTGTTCCTACGTGTTGTGGGATTATATTGCTATCTTCTTGGCTCTCTGGTGGAGTTGCGGGTGCTTGTTCACGAATGTTGGCATTTTGTGTATCTTCGCCTTCAATCCCTGCGATCGGACTTAGAGCTCGGGGGATATGCTGGGCTTCCATGGCACTTACGGGTCGAACATGTTCAGGGGCTATCTTTACCAAGCTTCCTGCGTGATTACACCAAAGACAATGGGGACCTTCTTGTTGGATGACTCTGGCTGGACCAAACCACCCCCGTTGGGTTGGAGTCTGTCTCCATAGCATCACCCAAGTTCCCCTGTCATAGGATCCTCGGTGAGGACAGCTCTTCGCAACGCAGAGCTGTTGTCTGCACAGTGAAAAGCTCGTCGTGCAGCTTCGCGGTATGCCAGCTTTTCTCGAAATCTGATTCCTTCCTGGGTGTCATCGTCTGCCAGGAGGTGCGATGGCAATTGCTCGTCCGATGAGATTGATGCTGGAATTCTGGACCCTTTTCCAAAAACAAGAGTTTCTGGGGAGTATCCCTGTTTCTGGCTCAGTGCATTCTTGGCAGAAGTGCAGTGCGATAGTGCTGTCTGCAGGTTGGTGTATGACGTTATTGGATGTTCCTGTTCATACTTCTTGAGCATTTCCTGTAGGATTCCACCATGTCTTTCTACTTTTCCGATTTGCCAGTGTGCACCTGGTGGGGTAACTATTGCTTTGATGTTGAACTGGCCTAGAAAAGTGACAAATTCCTTGGATGTGAATTCCGTCCCTGAGTCTGTGTGAATCTCAATCAGAGCCCCTGCCCATTGGAGCCATCCATTGAGCACCTTGTCTATTGCATCATCACTGCTTTTACCTGGGCTTGCACATGCTACCTGGTAGTTTGTTCCATAGTCGATGATGTGATAGAAGTGGAAGTTGGTTCCTGCCAGATTCGTGTATACAACACCATCTATCCCAATACAGTCGTTGAAATCTAGCTCACGTTTGATTGTAGAAGGTCTTTGATGTTTGGGTTCCTTAGTATTCTGACATACGGAACAACTTAGGTCCATGGCAGCTTGACACAATCGGGGTGAGTACCCCTGTTGACGCAGCATTGAACACAGCTTTTGACCATGAGGGTGTCCTAGGTTCTGATGCAATTTCAGCAAGAACGATTTTTCTTCGGCTGATATGGTCTTGAACTTTGGGCCATGGTCAAAGCTCGGCATATGGAGTTGACTCGAACTCGCTCCTGTCTCTTTGGTCTGATCCGGATCCAGCTCTGTGACAGGTGCTTGGTCACTACTTGGCAGGCTGACGGTTGCCTCCGGCGGCTCGATGCTTGTTCCCGTTGCCTCGGGACTCATATTCTGTTCGGTCGAATCACCTGATGCTTCTGACTTGGATTGGGGCAAACATGCATACATTGTGATATTGACTCTTGCGGGATGTGCTGGGCGGACTTGCTGCCGATGAGACAGGTCTTGCCAGTATTCCCAGTCCTCTTCTACTTGGATTACCCCCCCCTATTCGGCTTACGATGATGGCACGACGATATGGGGCCTCATTCTTTACCAAATCCCTTGGCGGTGGCAATGTTCGATCTGATCCCTTACATGCTTGAACTTTCTTG